CATTCGAGTTTTTTAACAGGATTTAATTACATCTCGATTATCAGCATATATTCGAAATGTTCATCGAAAGATACATACCCGTCAATAAAAATGCCAAATATTAAATTAATTTTTTTTAGTCTTGCATAGAAAAATATATTGTTATTGTGTTTAGAGTAATAAACAGATAGCAAAAAAAAACAAATACATGAGTATTGGGACCATCGATCGAATAACAGAGTTATAATGTGTTGAAAACAATTACAAAAATTATTTCAAATGAAGTTGACAAATTTTTCATATTATTATTGAATTTTTAAAATTCTGGTCACAGTAAGAATACCTATTAGTTGGTATCTATATATGGATATAGATAGAGATCTGCTTATGATATTGAAACTAAAAGAAAAACACGTACTAAATATGACAACACGTACAATATATCGAATGTGACAAAAGTTTTGCAACATTTTTTATTTTGCATTTAATTCTATTCAGAAATATAAGAAAGTGTTGATCTTCTTTTCAAGAGATGCACCATTGATTGTTCTGCTCGAATCATTAGCCCAAATCTCTATAGATATTTTTGAAATTTTAATAGACCATCAACACTGAACACGTGTGTCATAGTGTTATTCCCGACAAGGAAAGACAAGAGAAAGTCGGAATTGTTGAATTTTGATTTTGACAATTATTGTTCATTTATTTTGGTTATAACGTTTAGAATTAATCAGAGATATAGTGTGGCTCTGAAAATGAAATAAAACGTTTTTTCCTGTGTTGTTCTCAAACACATTGTCTTAATACAGTGAACTTGGTGCATATACCAATAGTTTAAACTTCCTCCAGTGTTGAAAGAATTAGTAAAAAAGAACGAAGATTAACAAAATCATACAATTAAAACTTGGTTTACACTAAAGATGATGGAAAGATGTAGGTGTGGATTTGGGTATGTGGGTAGGTATAAAATCTTTGGTTGTGCTTTTGCTATTCACATTAATTATCAAGAAGAGCTAACCTAGACTTGACTAGTGAAAAATGTGTCAGAATTGCGCATAACTCATGTCACACAATACGTATGATTGCTATACACTCTCAGTTTTGAATTGTTTATATCGATAATTATATTAATCAACTCAACTGAGAAAGCAAATTATAAAGAAAGAGTTTCGATACAGCAACATAAAGTGGGCATTTATGTCATTTGACACTTTATTTCTCTAAAATTTTGTTGAGCAAAAGATGCTGTGACTAGTGATAGTGTTCATTTCCAAATTCTTCTTTGTACGTATACAATCCTGTTCATATTGAATTTATTTTTCTTCCTTCAATGAATTCAAGTGAAAGTGATGTCTCAATCATTTAATTCATTAGTAATCCTGTATGAAAAGAACATTGTTTAGTATAAACTGTATTATAGATAATATTCTTTTAAAACACATTCAAAATTTATTTTCTTGCAAGTTATATGCTCTCTTTTTGAACGAAAAATCAATTACGAGCTAGTCTTAATGGTAAAATACGGTAAAATAAAATATTTCGGAAACGTTAAAATTTGTCTCGATCTGTAGTATATTTGAAAAACTCTTCTAGAAGTTGATATAAATCTCTTTCCACGTGCTTTTATTTTTTTAAGGTCCTAAATGAATATAAACTATTTATACATGTTAGAAGATCAAAAAAAGTATGTAGAATATTTTCTACAGGTCGAACAAGTATATGATGTCATAAAACAGTCAAGAAATACAAAAAGTCAAAACTAAAGAATTATGAGTGCTCCAAATAGTAGGATATCTTATTTCTTTTATGTTTCACAACTTTTCTTTTATTGTGTAGCTTTTGAGAATACAGGGTGTCCCATAAGTAACAAGACAAGGAAAAAAAA